TTGTTATTACCATACAACCTAGGCTGTTAAGCTTAACCTCACTATCTGTCTGAATATCAAACATCTTAGGCATAACATGGAGCAGGTATTTTTCACGAGTATTGATATGTTGAACTTTAAGTCCCTATAGAATATGATGAAAAAACATTTAAAAATTAGAATATATTTTTAAAAATAGGCATAAAGAATGATATAATTCTTATGTTTACACATAAATCCAAAAATCTAACCGTATACAACCTTGAAGCAGGACAGTCCCACAATATTCCTTTTCCTATCTCTTGCCTTCATTCACCACCCCCTTCTTTTTGAACAATCATCTACCCGAGAGACAGCACAGCAGCACTATTTTTTTTTAATTGTGATAAATTCTACATAACAAAATTTACCATTTTAACTACTTTTGATGTCCAGCTGGCCATTTGATTTTGATTTTTTGTTTGGTTTTCATAAGACAGGGTCTTGCTGTGTAGTTCAGATTAGTCTGGAACTCACTATGTTGCCCAGGCTGACCTCGAACTCACAGCAGTCTTTCTGCCTTAGACTTCTGAGTATTGGGATTACAGGCATGTGCTACCATGCCTGGCTTGGCCACTTGATTTTTAAGTTTTTCATTTCCATCAACATTGTGACTGCTGCTGCTGAGTGCCATTCGACAGAAAGGTAGCCTCATAAAAACATCACAATGTGTCCTCATCCATGTAGTCACTGGATATGGCACATGCGACTTTTGGTTCCTCCTCAAAGTCAAAATGACCCTGAAAGGTAAACATTTTTACATTGATTCAGGACCTCAAAACATTCACGATAGTGTTGTTTACTGTATTTTTTTTTTTAATCACTTTGTATACCACTTAAAGAGTGATCCATGCTTAGATAAGGCCCCAGTGTCCAAGAAATCTTTATGTAAGGTGAGATTTGGTTTGCTCTATAATCAGTCAGGGGCAGGGTCTATCCGTGGTGAGAGAGAAGGCAGTAGAAAACTGAAATAGCAGACCAGCTGTTTTAGTATTAAGCTCATTGACTTTCAGAGAATGTTGTATGTATCTGTAACTTTTGAAGTTGAATATTTAGATAAGGAAGTATTGGCACATAGTTCATTTTTTTACAAATCACAGCCAGGGAGATAGCTGAGCAGCATAAGTGCCTCCCTGGCAAGCACAAGGACCTGAGTTCAATCCCTGGTACCACACACACACACACACACGCACACACACGCATGCACGCACACGCACACACATACACACACACACACACACACAAAAGGTGGGTCTACAAACCACAAAAGCCAAATGTATTCAACTTGTGAGAAAGTGTTAAAATCCAAATATGTGTGGAAAAAGGGTTAAACTACCTATTAAAATTCTATGCAAATACATCTGTTCATGCAGCATTAAACTTTTCAATATGTTATCACTTGGGAGTAGGTATTTCATTAGTGAGCTTAGAACAATTGCAGTTATAATTTTCATAAAAATAATTGTACAAAAAACAGCATGTGATGAAACATGCATTTATGGAAGTTAATCTTAAATGCCTGCTACTCTGAGATCAGGTAAAAACTTGGAGAGTGTGTGTTATCGGTAAAGAGTGAGTTGGGTGAATTCCAAGTGGTCTTGTTGCAAAACTGGGTGGCAGAGGATGGTGTGCATTGTGTTAGTCTTTTGTGATAGGTCGAGGATCTCATCTGTACTGAACATAATGCTGTGTGCGTAGATAGCACAAATGTGAAACCACCTTGTCTCTTCTCATTTGTACAGGCAGGCGAATGCACACTGGGGACCCCCGTGCTCACGTGACATCAAGAGGAAGCGGAAGCCGGTGGCCACAGCGTCTGTGTCCAGCCCCACTGCAGGTGATTATATCAGCTGCCATGTCTTGAGCACCTAGTGTGTGCGTGTCAGATACTAAACTGTGTGTCTCACATACCTTTCAGCGTGCTCTTTGTGATTAGATCGTTGTAGTCCCACTTTACGTAGGAAAACTGCGACAGTGCGAAGTAATTTGCCCAGCTCTCTGATCCTGAAGTCTGTGCTGTCACGTGGCCTTGTGGAGTTTGAAACTTTCTATTCTACCATTAACAATCTCCAGTCAGCTCTTGGAGTGGCAGTTTGGTCAGCAGTTAGGGAATCACATGGGCTCATTTGGTTTGGGGTACACTGGTTTATATGTAGGATAGTGGTAGTATATATAGGGGAGTGGTTGTAAAATTGCTGATGAAAAACAAATTTTCAGGTGAGCATGGTGGAACACACTTATAATCCTAGCACTTGGGAGGCTGGGGGATCGCTATGAGTTCCAGGCTGGGCTATATGAGTTCAAGGCCAACCTGAATTTCATAGTGAGACCCTGTTTCAGAAATCATAAATAACCACATTTTTTTCAAATTAAAACTGTGTCTTTCTGTGCAAAATGAATACTAATTGCCATAAACTAAATTAGTGGTTGTTTTGGGTAGGAGGATATGAAATGATACGAAAACCTGGCATAGTGGAAATGCTGTGTCTCAGGAACCAGGCAGGGGTTACATGTGTGTACATGTGTCTGCGGATTGTTTAACTGCACACTTAGGACATATGTACTTTACTGCACATGTGCTATCAAGAATGTTGGATGTGGACTATACCATAGATCCTTTCCCCTTAGACAGTACAGCTTGAGTATACTTAATCTGAAAACATAAAACCTGAAATATAGAAAATCTAAAATTTTTAGAAATTTCACACATTACCTCACATGGTGGATTGCATTAAAATGTAGGCACAGTAAAAATTTAATAGAAAATAACCATTAGCTAATGGTGTTTATGAAATATAAGTGAAGTTTGTTTAAACTTTGGTCCCATCCCTAACATGTGTATGAAATTATTCAAAGATATGAAAACAAAAATCCCAAGCTTGAAACGTGTCCAAGTCAGAAGCATTTTGGATCCTCAGACTGTGCTATATATTATGTAGATCAGAGCAGTCAATAGCTGAGTAAAAGTCCATCTCAGGCAGGCATGGAACTCTACCCCTTACTTTTACTTACTAAGTTTTAGCATTCTCTAAAATCAGCCTCTTTGAGCTTCTCAAGGAGCGGACTGCTTGATGGTGGTTCATACTGGATAATCTTAATAACAGGTCTAAAGATTACCATAGTTTTGTAGTACTTTTCACATGGCTAGGCCCTAAGCTAGATACTTTGTCTATGATATTTCATTTAATCTTTGCAACAGCTTTATAAGTACTGTTTCTATCCCTATGGTTACATGAGAAAACTGAAGCTTGCAGTCATTACAGGTTGATAAATTGCAGAAAGGGGTCAAGCTCAGACCAGTTTCTCTATGACTTTAGAGCTGCCCTCTTAGACCCTGCGGGAGTTTCGTCTATGTAGACAGTAGAATTGGTTCCAAACTCAGGGCCTGTGTAAAACTCAGCCCTCATCCATCTGCGGGATTTGAAGCATTGAAACCAATTTGTCCTTTTGTCTTTTTCAGCTATCCTCCCTCTTAATATCTAGCTTCTGTTTTTACTTTTTACTTCTTTGTAACAAAAGAACCATTTGGAAGAGTTCTTTAGCCGATATTCACATAGGGAAATGTATTTGTTAACCCATGTATGCTGAAGATCACAATTTTTTAAATTGCATGAAGTTCATGCATGTTACCTAGAAAAATTGAAGAAATAAGAATTTGAAGAGAAAAATTCTATGTTCTATTGTTGTTTGCCATTCCGAAAGTGGATGCTAGGCATAAAAAAGGAAATTAGACTTGCAGTGAAACATTTCCCCTACTCTGCCCAACTCCTCTGCTGTCACTTGTTGACTAGGCCCTGCTTTGCTGAGCATTTTTTTTTCCTACCCACAACCTGAGTGCCCCAAGGAGGTGAAGGACATAGCCCAAGCCTGCGCCATCAGTCAGCAGAACAAATGGGCTTGCTCTGCCTACCATCGGGCCATCTCGGATTCCACCTCTTCTATAGAAATGAGTGATGAAGAGAGGTGCATCCCGCTTTGCTGCGGTATTAATACACATCAGGGGCCAGCTCCTGGCACTAAATCACGCTCCTGCATACATCTGTTATCGGACTCCTCACCAGTGTGATGAACAGGACTGCAGATAGAGGCTTCCTTGTGTCATTCTTTATAGGATTTTCCTAAAAGAATAAATAGCTCAGATCTCTGCCAACACTCTCCCCTGTCACTGTGATGAATTCAGCTTCTTTCTTAAGCATGCAGCCACAAATCTTTTCCCTTTCCTCCCCTCCCCCTTTGGCAGAAAGTTTTTAGTTGAAATTGAATTTAAGGATATTAATAAGGCTAGAGAGGTGAGGAGCAAAAAGGAACAGCATGTCTGCCTTGTCTTTTTGTTCTTATTGTAAAGGAAAATATCCCCTCATAGGGTCACCAAGTGACACTTTCTTGTGACTTTATGGAATGTGTCTTGTATATGGTGCCACACTCTGTATCTTAGTGGGTATGTGTGCACATCTGCTTCTGAGATGATGCCCAGCAAGTCTACTTCATGGAGACACGAACTAGGTGCATATGCTCTTAAACAGTCTACTTAGAAAAGAAAAAGTGATCAGTTTCTCTAACGTTTGAGACTAGCTGTGAGAAATCTAAAGAACTCAGATGAAAACTACACTTCATTTCCTTAAAATGATTTTCTTAGCGTGATAGAGCCGTTGCAAATTCTAGATCCTAAAAGGTAAACACAGGGCTTTAGTGAAAGGGAATTGGGTTTACCAGAGATTGTGTTCTGAGCCAGAGCTGCATTGGCTATTCCCAAAGCCTCTTCTGACCTTTTGCTACCTCAAATAGGATATGTGCCCTGAGAACTTCATTCAGAGAGGTCCTTAGCAGTTCATTGGTTCACTAGTTATATGAGATTCCAGCTGCCCAGGCAGCAATAGGGTTACATTCAGAAGGGCTAGAATTTGTATGTTTTACTCCTCTTTATTCCCTCAGTAGATTTCTGTGACTAAATTAGTAGTATCTTAAAGTTGAAATAGTTGTTTGACATAGTTGTTTCTAGCCCCATGGTAAGAATTGAATATTTGTCGAGTATTTATAGCAACTCTACAAAGCATAAACAATAGAGCTAATATCCATGTACTTGTTACCCACTTTAAAAAAAAAAAAAAGCACATTGACTTTAAAACCTTTCTCCCACCTCTCTTCAGAAGTAATAATCATCCTGATGTTTTTATCATTCATTGTTATTTCGGTATCTTTTTTTTTTTTTTTTTTTTTTTTTGCTTTTTGAGTACTGGGAATCGAACTCAGGACCTTCCACTTGCCAGGCAGGCACTGTGCTGCTAAGCTATGTCCTGGGCCCACTTTTAAGAGACATATGTATATCTGGGCAATATATTGTCTAGTTACCGTATGTACAAGACTCAAACTGTATGTCATATTTTATGTTACAAGTTTCATGGAGCTCTGTCCTTGAGATCCATTCATGTTTTGTTCTCTCAAAATTCACTCACTTTTATCAGCTGTATATATAATGCTCCACTGTGTGACGGTGGCATATATACTGCAATCAAAAGAGTTCTTGATGGGCATTTGAATTGTATCCTGCTTTATGCTATTGTGAAAAATACTCCATTGTTCTCAGAGAACAACTACATCTCATATTTGTTAGGATGCCTATGTTGAAAAACAGATTATCAGGTGTTAGAAAAGATGTGATTAGATCCTTCATGCATTTCTTATGAGAATGTAAACTGGTACGTCACTATAGAAAACTATATGAAGGTTCCGTGAAAAATTAAATGTAGAACTATTATGTGATCTGGCAGTTCTGCTTCTAGGTATGTACTCCAAGGAATTAAAAGCAAAAATTTATTTATTTATTTTATTTCTTAAATTTCTTTTAAGGAAAGGGTCTTCAGGATGTTCAGGGTCTTACTACTAGATTGGATTCGTAGTGATTCACCTGTTTACAGCCTCCCAAGAACTGGGATTACAGGCTTGTGCCACCATGGCCAGTCTCAATTGCCATCTCAGTGTGCTCTGGGGGCAGGGCCAACTTGATAGGCCTGGGGATCAAACCCCAGCACTTAATCTGCTGAGCTATTTGGCTGGCTCCAAAAATTTAAATATATATTTTTATACTCATGTTTATAGCAGTAGATTATTTATAGTAGTCATAAGGTGATAGCCAGGCATGGTGGCATATGCACATAATCCTAGCACTATGGAAGGCTGAAGCAGGAGGATCACAAGCCTGTGCAACTTAGTAACTTAATAAAACCCTATCCCAAAATCAATTATGAAAAAGGACTGGGGATGTAGCTCAAGGAGAATGACAAGGGTTCAATTCCCAGAATCCTTCTCCCCTCCCAGAAAAGCAGAAACAACCCAGGTGTCCCTTGACAGGTGAATATGGTGTTTATACATAAATACCACATTTTAGTCTGAAAACCTTCATTCTAGAGAAACATGGTACAACATGGATAGAGACTAAGTGGAAAGAGCCAAATATAAAGAACAAACAGTATATGATTCTACTTGCGTGAGATATCTGGAATAGTCAAATTCATAAAAACAGAAAGTAGAAGAGTGGTTATCATGGGCTGGAGAGCTAGCTTGGCAGTCTCTAAGTGCCTGCCTGGCAAGCGCAAGACCCAGTTTCAATTCCCAGTACCGCATGCCGTGCTGGGCTGGAACCCCGGGCACTACTAAACTACATACTTAAAAATAGTGTAAATTTTCTGTGCAGTGCATATGATACCGTGGTTTGATGACTATAGTAAGGATAGGTATAATTTTGTAAAGTTTGTTTTCAGTTAAATATGAATATGTGTTTATGATTTTGCGTGAGTATATGAGAGATTTGAGTTGTCCAAAGTGTTTCTTGCTGTTGATTTGTATTCCAAAACATTTTAAGTCATTGCTGTCAAACCCTTGTATCTGTGTTACAGAGTTAATAGCTTTCAAGATTCTTTATGTTAGCCCACAGTAAGGCATTCATATTTGAATATATTTGTGGATGTAGATGTGAATGTGAAATAAGCCCTGGGTAGCCTCAGATGTTTTCTGCTTTCATTGAGGAATAAAGAAGTACTAGTCATGACTAAGTTAATTTTGTGACCTGCAATTTGAAAATTAGTATTCTAGATTGCATTCTGAGAAGAAATACTGGGTACCAGGATAAAATCTACACTACATTTGCTATATTTTAATGTATATTTATTTTCAGTGAGGGTGATACTGCTTTTTATGATTCCACTTGGGCACTTGGAAAAATGAAAAAACTGGATATGAGCCGGAATGCTAAGTTTTCTAAAACGTAGAGCACAGCCATGATTCTCCTGTCCAGAATGTGCTCAGTAACTTTGTTGGGAAATACTGTATCTGATGGTGTTATTTTTATACTAGTTCCCTTTTTGTACATTACTTATGGGTGATATTATATAAGAGGCCTGAGATAGAGCACAGGGCTTGAAGTCCAGGGTGATTGAAGTGTGAGCCTTCTTTTTGATACTGGCAATTGAGCTTGGGAGCTTGTACTTGCCAGGCAGGTGCTTATGCCACTGAGCTAGCTCCCTGGCACCCTTTTTTTGGTCTTTTTGGGACAGGGTCTCGCTATGCAGTTCAGGCTGGCCTTGAGGTCACTTTGTAGCCCAGGCTGGTCTCAAAAGTCACAATGACCCTCCTGCCTCTGCTTCCTGAGTGCTGGGATTATAGACATGTGCGCCCAATCCCAGCTCAAGTTTGAGTCTTGCTACCTGACCAGCTTGGTTCTTGGACACATTGTCTGATCATGCTGCAGTTAGTTCCCTGATCCAGAAAATGGAAAAGATAATATGTACTTCTAAGGATTTACATTACGAAAGTCGGGTTTCGAGTGTTTGTTTTTACTGCATGTGGGATTGTACTATTGTTTATCCATTTGTTCAGTTGAACCCATTTTCTCAGCTGCAGAGATATTTTCTTATTTAAACCTGGCCTTTTTGGGAGGCTGTAAATAGGCAGATCACTGTGAGTCTGATCTAGTAGTGAGACCCTGAACACCCTGTACACCCTTCCGTAAAATACAAAAATATAAAACTAAATTAAATTAAAATAATAAAATAAACCTGACCTTTATTTTTTCATAAAGATAAAAAGAGAAATGTTATGTGGTTGCTTGGGTTTATAGATGTGAAGTGTAAGGACTAAGGAGTGTCTGTTTCCAAGTGTCTCATTCCCACTTCTCACTCTGCTTTGCCTCCCCTCCTTCGTTTCATCCTTGCTTTCATTGTGACAACCAGTTCTCATGGATGCGGTGGACCCGGCCACACCAGCCATGCAAGACCGGAAGTCTCCAAATTCGGAGTGGTTGGTCCGGACCTCTGCAGCAGGCAAAGCCACTGACTCAACTACAACAACATTTTTTAAAATGCCACAGGAGAAGAGCCCTGGATGCAGCTAGAGAGCCTGAGTCCCCCTGCCCCAGGAGTTGGCTGCGTGTGGTGTCCACCATGTAGATCCCTGTGGACATTCTCCAGCCCTGCACCTCCAGGACCGACTCCTCTGCGCACTGGGCTGCCTGCTCACTTTCAACGTCGTGTTATGGAAACTTTTTATTTCTTATTAATTAGTAAAGTATTGAGGCAGCAGTTTTCTTTTTTTTAAAGGCTATCCTGTGCTGTACGTGTTACCTTATTGCTATTCCACCGTTCACCTACAGCTCTCTGTAGAGTTGCTCATTTTTGCAGGTAGGTCTTATATCTTGAAAACCTGGTGACTGCTTTTGCACACCTGTGTACAGCTTTTGGTGCCATTTGAGGAAAGGAAGGCCCAAATTTGCAGCCTGTCCAAATAGACTCCTGCATGGAATTGCGTCTGCAGCAGATAAGGCCTGCCCAGAGCCAGACCTCAGTTCACTCAGAGAACCATTAAGATAGATGTGTGAGTTCTCAAATTGGAGCCTCAAGAGAAACAATGGTGTACAGGCCTTGGAAACTGTGGTTTTTCTGTGGATGGCCTGATGGGGTCACAGGCAGCTGCACTGTGCTTTACCTCCTCCTCAGTGTTTATGTTCTGTGGAAAGAAGACACATCTATATGCACCGATAGGCACAACGAAGAAATTTCAGTGGTACAAACAGCCTGCCGCAGCACGTGTGTCATAGGTTCACCTCCTAGGCAGAAACTTAAATCGTCAGCAGATTATGTCTTACTACACGTCACAGTGTAAGCCTTTATGTCTTGAGTGGGACTTTATTGTTAGTGTTACATATAGGTCAATAACCTGCAGCAGAACTTTATACTCAGTTATAATAATGGCTTCTTGGGGCCATACTGTGGGCAGGAAAAAAGCCTTTTTGACATGCCTTTGCACTTGGCCTGTTTGTGACGGCTCAGCTTCGTGTCGAGCTATATATACAGTGGTGCTGGAGTCAGATGCTACTTGTCAGAATGAGGAATCGGTGACTGTGTGGAGCTGCTGGAAGAAAGCCACACTTTCTAAAAAGTATTACCGAGAGTGTCTTGTTGAGAGGCCTGGGCGACACGAGAGTCCTTTTTTTGTATGACTTGAGTGATTTTACTCTGAAATACTTGGCGCTGTTTGCTTAGCGCTTCCTACTCTGGCCATGAGGGAAAGGCACGTTCACCGTGCACCCGATATTTGTTGGATGTAGGCGCTCAGATGGCCTTCTTTCCCCTAAGTGTGATGGGTCCCTTCCTCCCTCACGGAATAATTGGTGGTGGGTTGCTCTGTCAGTAAAAATTACTGTTCTTACTAGCAGAAGCTGTGGAATTGCTTTATCAAGGAGATGAGCAGGAGGATGGGTGGGAGTGTGGTTGAAATGGGAGATTAAAAGCAACATTTATGTAGCACTTAATGTAAAACCAGGAATTTGTCAGTGGACCATAATGAGTATGGTGGATGGAGGGGAATGGAGGTTCTAGGGAGGAGGAGATGATGCAGGTGCCAGTGCAGTGTCGTGGGAGCACCGCTGGTTCTCAGCAGGAGTAAACAGGCTGACAGGGTGTCAAGGCTGCACCTCCTTTCCCTATGGGCTGCACCCCAGAAGTACTGGAAATGTCATGTCTGCTGCATAAGCAGCACTGCTGACTTTTTTGGTGGTAAAGGCACATTTCATCGTTAGGTGCAGTGTCATCTGGTCCTCACACAGTCTTTGACTTGGTGGAAGAAGGAACAGGCTCATGGATACAGCTCTTTTTCTTTGTGCTGAGCTCTACGGCTCGGCAGATGTAAGTCCTGTGGTCACGGTCTGCTAGGCCTTAGATGTTGGGCTTCATCCAGCGTCTTTATGACTTGTTGCCTACCAGTCCCCTTTTTTATCTATAACTTAATTTAGGTTCACAACCTTTTTTACGTTTTAAACATTTCTATAAAATCATACAGAGTTAAAAAGAGCCATAGAATTGAGTGACTAGCCCAAAATCACATGACCCAACCTGGACTCAAGTCCTAGACTGCAGACTCTTGCCTTGGGTTATGTGCTTGTTTTTTCACTGGTAGACCTCGGCAGTCTGAGATCAACATTTCTGAAGTAATTTGCTATAAACGTTTATCATTGTTCTTGGGCATGTTTTCTGTATATTTTGAATATTTTTGACAGGGATCACCCAAGAACGCAACATCTACCTATAAGAAATGGGAAGAAAATTAGTTGCCTGAGAAAATAGAATATTAAGCACACAACACAGGTTTGTAAATTGCTCTCATTTTAAGATGCTGAATGCATATAGTTAAGGAATTATTAATCAATATATTCTGCTTGAGTTTTTTTGTATTAACCAATTCCAGAGGCTATCTATTCTTAGTATCAAGTATATTTTAAATTCTAAATCTTAAATTTCTGTTTATAGGGCACAGTATATAATGGTATAAATGAAGAAAAGTCTTACATTCCAAGATAGTTTCAAAATTAGATTTTATAATCAGTGTTAAAAAAACTGAGCATGACATATTTGATGATAGTCATTGAATGCATGTGTCTGATGTGCTGAAAAGTGACTGAGGGTGTGTTCCAGTTTTTATTTCTGACTGGTTTATCCCAATTTACTGTACAAACTCCCTCAGTCGTATTAGTTTTCCACAATGGACAAAAGTTAAGACATTATCTACTTGCATGAGAACCATTCATAAGGTTAGTTTTATTTACAAGAGAACTTGAGATTGGTTTTCGGATGGCGTATTTTAAAGGAATAACTTCATTTATATCAAAACTCTTGTTGCTTTTTGGTAAGAATTAATGAGAAGAAATTAATAGCGGTTAGCATGGTTCCAGATTTGGAGGGGGCAGAACACAATTTCACTGGGTGGAAGTGGTGGAAGTGGGTTGCATTTTGTCTTGAATGCATGGTGCTGCTGGGCAGTGACATAGGCTCTAAGCAAGGCAGTGCTCATAGCACTAAGTGATGCGACGTGGCAACAGAGCTTCTTAAACTGTACTCTGTGGATGGCATCCTTTTTAAGAGATGCTCAGCACCTAGGACAAGTAATTAAGCTAGGAATCCCAAGTAGATCAATCTGATTTATCTTGATTTTGGAATTAGAAACCATACATACTCTTCCATAGCCTGGGGAGTTCCATTGGGGCCAAGTAATCATGAAAGCTGCTTGGAGTTGAAAAGTTACAACAGAAAGGAGCTTGGCTGACTGGCTTGGTAGTGTGATGGGTTCTTAGTCTCTAGGGGAAGTTCCTGGTGGTGTGTGATTCCTTTCAGGATTTTGCTTAATTTTCACTTAATTCCTATGATTCTGAGCCACACACTTCCATTCTACCTCCTAGGAGACCATGCAAAAATCTCAGCAGTAGATGCTGTAGTTGGTGTCCTACAAGTCTTCTGCATCTCACCTGAGAGTGCAGACTTGCTCCAGCAGCCATGGGTGCGGTCCTGGTGAAGCAGCGCCTAGAGCATGTGCCACGTTAGTGGGTAGTGGGTGGGAAGGTGAAGCACTTCGTTCCTGTCAGCTGTTTGCTTTGCACATGCTTGAGCCACCCACTTGTGCTTGTTGGTTATTCCCTTCTTGCGTGCTCCTGTGGGGACAGTAGAGTTACTGCTGCTGGCACCAGTCAGGACTTGTTCTGATCCATCAGAGAAGAGCAGAAGGCAGAGATGAGGAAGATGGTAAGCCCTGCCACGAGGCACCAAGCACAAGTGCCCAGAGACGCCGTCTCCTCACTCCAGATCACAACAATGCCTGGAAACAGCAACACAAAATGTAAATAAGATCAGCAGGACTTCTGAGGAGTGTGCTTGTAAGCCCAACAGGATTACTATGGTCAGAACAAATTGTCCTGCAAGTAGACATAATCACTTAGCAAATTTGCCGGGTGTGGAGAGTAAAACTTTTTCAAGTACAGAGGAATGGGATAGACACTGAAGAAACTTACCAAGGTACGAGTCCGTCTTTGGAGGTGGGAAGGCAAAGGGGAGCTGCGCGGAGCAGCGCTTCTACTGGCGCTGTCCCCAGGCCAGCGGCCTTCTCCCTGTCCTAAGTCAGCAGGACTGCTGGGTGAGCTCCAGCAGGCTTTGAACAAAGCCCTGCAGGTGACTTGCGCTGAAGTTTGAGAACTACGGGTTTTCCAGTTAAATACTTTTAATGTGCTAGTGTCTTAGGTAAGCTCCAAGCTGCTGTTCTGTTTTCCTCTGCAACAAAACTGTGTGATTCTTTGCAGCAATTGTTAATGTTTTTATCTTCTACATTTTCCCCTACAAGTTCTTGAAAAATTGAAAATATTGAGAAATGATGATGTAGAAGAAAATGCCATCAAGTCCCTATTTAAATATATGGAAATAACTTTTTAAAATGGGTAAAAATATACAAAGAAATTTTAGTCTTTGAGTGCTGGTCCTTGTTCATAACTGACAGTAAAAATTATTTGTTTAAGACACTGCTGCTCTGGATTTTATTGTATTTGTGTGTTGTATCTTAGTTTTAAGGCACAGTATGTATTTTCTAGCATCACCATAAGGACTTCTTTGACGTGTGGCTCATAAAGTGAAAAAAATAGTTGGAAGAAAATCCTATTGGGTGTGTAATAGAGACCTGTTGAATTTTTTATAACCTCTAGGATGTAATCTCAGTACTTAAGAGCATGCATTTCTCTGCAATCTCATGTACACTTCATTGTTTACATTTCAGCTTGTTGAGTCTACAGGGGTTAGGAACCAATATCTGACTTAGATTAAGTATTTCAGAATATCATATCCAATTTTGGAAAGAAATCATGAGGTTTGTTTTGTTTTGTATGTAAGACGGGGCCCTGGGCCAGCGAGATAGCTCAGTGAACTAAGTGCCTGCTTTGGCAAGCACAACGACCAGGGTTCAGTCCCCAGTCCTGTCTGCTGCACTGGCCTCACCCCGTAATCCCAGCACTAGGGAGGCTGAAAAGAGGAGGATCACTACAAGTCCGAGCTGCGTAGTGAGACCCTGTACCAAATAGTGAAAACAAAACGCTGGGTCCTGGCTTCTTGCCAAAGCCCTCAACCCTGTTCCGTCAGAGCATTTGCAGGCTCCAGAGTTCATGTGTTTGCAGTGGGTGCATAACGTTCTCCAGCAGTCTTTCCTTGGATGTTTGTTTAAGCAGTTTAGTGTTCATTTTTTAAAAAGTTTACAATTTCTTGGATCTAGGGAGATAGCTCAGCGCCTTAAGCACCTGGCTGGCAAGCACAAGGACCTAAATTCAAATCCCCGGTACTGGAAAAAAAAAAATTCTCCCTTTTTAAAAAAATTCTCTCTCCCATCTTGAAAACTAATTGAAAGTACCCATGGCTAAAAAGATCAGTGTTATTAGTTATCAAGCCTTTTAGTGTTTCTTTAAAAGTTACTCCTGACTTTTGTTAACTCCCTGACATGTTTTACATTAAAAAATGAAAATACAGTATCAGAACTAAAAAATTGCTATGATAAGGGCTGGCAGATTAGCTTAGTTGTCTAAAGCACCTTCTTGAGCAAAATCAGTCAGGGGCAAGGGACTGTGGTTCGATCCCCAGCACCACGTGCTGCACCAGACCTTCCCTTAAGGCAGCATGAGCCAGTCCCCACCCCCCCAAAATAAAATTGCTATAGTAGCTTTAAGTTAAAATCAGCCCATTTCACTATGGTTGTATACTACATCTTGTTTCACCCACTAGACCAAGAAAAAAATCTTACCAGAGAGCAAACTGATGCCGACAGATTAATTGCTCAGTGTATATCTCGAGTCTCCTCTTAACTGTCAGCAGCTTTTACAGACTGGCCAACCAAGACGCTTGCTGCCTCCACCTTCCAGCCTCGGCAGCTCGTCCTGTCCTCCCCACCAGTCGCACTCTGCCGAACTCCCACTCTGCCCTCACACCCCTCCTCACCCCTTGTCTTCTTACAGGCACCTGTCCTGCCCTGGAAGAAATCTCTGCCCATGCGCTGTCTTTCCATTAGTACCTTGCTCAGTCTGGCTGCGCGCAGTTTTTGCACATTAAGGTGCTCAAAGAACTTCCTTCAACCCTTTGAACCCCTGCCTCTCACTAACATATCTGCCCTTGCACTCCTAAGTCTATTCTGCAGTCCACTAAGACCATGGTTTTCACCCTGCCTGTGCATTAGATCACCTGGGTTGCTGTAAAGAAAAAAAAATTGAAATTCCGAGGTAGAATGACAGGTTACAACAACCTGTGGTGTGGGTGGGGCACCCTTCAGTCTTGAGAACAGCAGGGGATTAAAGGGGCTAAGCCAATACCTGACTATTATCCTCATCATCAAAATTATTCTTGTTTGGTTCAACGGTGACTTTTACCTGCCAAAATTTAGTCCTTGGGTTAATTGCTATGGTATTGGTGTTTATAACTACTACTATTGTCAGGAGAGCAGGTTAGAAGTGAGCAGTTCAAAAAAGGAAGGGGTTTGTTCTTCCTCCATTTGAAGGTGAGAAGATGGATCGTTAGCCCAGCATAGGTTAGACGTCTGTCTCCACCTTCACCAGCATTGCTTCAGTGAGCACGAGCATGCTGTGAATTCCTTTGCCAAGCCACCTTAGTGCTGCAGCTTCAAGCAGAAACTCACAGGGAAGCACATAGGCTTACTGTGAACTCGGAGGAGAGTGTACTTACAGTCTCTCCTGCTTCACTGGGCTCCATTTCTGCTGCTCCAAATCCTGGTACTAAAATAGGAGGAATTACTAGTCAGGTTAGAGTCCAGGATGGATCACCCTGTTTGCTTGTAGGTAGAGTGGCGGTTCATGACCAGTCACGGTTAAACCGCGTCCCTCCCCTGCTTTCTCCTTTCCAGGGGTCTTGGGCTAGCAAGGCATCTTTTTTTTTTTTCCATAAATTTATTGAGAAACAAATAGCAATGAGACAGTTTCAAACCAAACTGGTAGGACAGTTTCAATAATTAATACATTGTATACATTCTTCCTAGTGGTTAATTGCTGTACAACATGCAGACATGATATCCTACTTACAAACACCATTAGAACAAATCCCTCTATTCATTAAGAGAATGTAACTGT